GGGGTGGGTGGGCTTAGGGGTTGGTCTGAAAAGTTTGGAGTGTGGGAATGGGCTGTAGGCTGAAGTGTGGGCTCTAGCTGCAAGGGGATGTTGAGCTCTGAAGTAAGGCTGACGATGAAGAGTTTGGGTCACAGGAGGGTGCATGAGGTGCTCTGAGATGTGGGCTCTGGGAGGAAGTTTGTGTGCAGGTTGGGGCAGAGGGTTGGGATGCAGGAGAGGATGGATCCACAGACTCTGGCCGGGTGGTGCTTACCTTTGGCAGTTCTGATAAGTGACCACCATGTCCCCTCAGTTCCTAGGCTCTGTGCACTGCCCCCACCCACAGACACCACATCTACAGCTCCCACTGACAGTGGTTCCTGATCAATGGGAGCTGAGTAGGCAGTGCAGGGTGGGGACAAAGTGTAGAGAAATCTGGGTCACCCCAGTGCCTAAGCATTGGACATGACGACCGCTTCTGGGAGACACGCAGAGCCAGGAAAGGTACAGAACCTACTTTAGCACTGTTGTGCCACCAACTGCATTTTTAGCAGCTTATTAAAAATCTCCCCGATTGCTTTCAGTAGTCACTGGGAGATCAATCTACATTCTGATAGACTTGTAGCCAATCTTGGAGGGTTGGCAATTGATCTCTCCCGAAAACAGGGAGATGAGGGGAGGAGTGATAAGTCATGATTAAGGCATATCTCTTAGAGACCAGTAAATCATAAAATCTGCCCTGGTTTCTCACTTATTTCCAAAACTATTAAAATTCTCTTTTAGCACCTACAATATATGCTCGACCTTAAACAAGACACTCTCACAAGTCCTGCATGGAAAGTTTACTGTTTGAAGACTTCCAGTACTAGACATCTTGTATAAGTGATAAATTTACAGCACTTCTAGATAACTTGGCTATTTCTAAATCATGCTAGTAGCAGCTGATGATTTAGTTGTTCTGTTGAACTTTAACAAGCAAGATTTTCTGGGATGAGTGACACCAGCTTTCAAAGAGGTCATTAACGTTTGGGCGTAGATAAAATGCCAAGCCTAAAATAAATCAGCAACAAAAATGTGCTGCATTTTTGTTAGCTGGAACATTGCTAACATAAATCAAACCATAAAACTACTTGAATGTGTGCCTCAAACAGTTACCTGCAATTTTGATTTAATAACAATAAAGAAAAGGTAGGAGCAGTAAAAAAACATTCTTTATTGACATCTAATTGCTGTATACTGTGTTGAAATAGGCAGCCAATGCAGTATAAGTGTTGTGCCATTCATTTTAAGGGGAGGCAGCCGGAAATTTGGCTGGTGTTTAAAAGGCTCTTGGGAGTCTTGCCTGAGTAAAACCTAAAGAATTGAGCCCATAAAGAGCAAGACATCCGGGAAATCAAAACTGGTAGAACATTATATACATTATGATGAGAGAGACTAGGTACCCTGATAGAAAGCAGTGTGATAGGTAAATAATAAAAAATGCACAGTCATTGTACTGCATAATATAAATACCAAATAATGGTAACAGTGGCAACGATTAGCATATAAAATTTCATACAAAATGATTAATATAATTATTACATCTTGTAAGAATATAAGAACAGGCCATAGTGGCTCAGATCAAAGGACCATCTAGCCCGGTATCCCATCTTCTGACAGTGTTCAATGCCAGGTGCCCCAGAGGGAATGAACTCCATTCATCGGAAGAAGTGGGTTGGGACCACGAAAGCTCATGATACCATCTACATATTTTGTTAGTCAGTAAGGTGCTGCAAGACTATTAGTTGTTTTTTTTAAGTTTTTTCAGTTACAGAGTAACTCGGCTACCCCTCTGAAGCTTTTGAACAGAACAAGTTATCAAGTGATCCATTCCCTGTCATTCATTGTAATAAAAGTTCTAGTATTTCACCTGCCTTCTGTGTATCAGGTAGCTTACTGATGTGCATGTATAATTTTTCATGCATATGAATCTAGGTGATAAAGACAGCCTACTCCTAGTGTTAATGTTTGAACTCATTTGGAAAACATTTGTTTCTTTGGTGGAGGATGCATGCTTTTATCTCGCAGAGACTCAGTTGTGCAGTTTGTTACAACTAGTCATTACAGCCATTATATCATCATGGGTTAACAGTAATGTAAAGTCCCTCTGGCCAGTATAGAATTAACAATGAGAGAATATAGTTAGAGTATGGCATCAGGAGCTAGGTTTCATATATTCTGCATCCAGGTCTGTTACAAATTTCCTGTGTATTTTTGGCAATTCACTTCATCTCTCTGAGCTTGATCTTACCCCTTCTGCAAAATGAGAGTGACACATCAGACCAATGCTGAGGATTAATTAATGGTTGTAAAATATTTTGAGATCATCATTTGAAGAGAACTATATCTGCACAAAATAATGGAGTTTATTTATTGCATAGTGTTTGAAGTGTTATTTGATATGGTACCTTTCGTAAAAGAAACCCGTACCACATTTTGTTTTGTTTAGTGAAGCTTCTTTTTTTAAAAAAAATCACATCTTAAGCATTTACACCATCAGTGTACTCAATTATTTTTGAAATGTAAAGTTTTTCATTAAAATTGCTACTTCAGTGTTTCAGAATTGAAATAAACAATGACAAGGTATGTATAAATACCAAGCATTAAAGTTCTTATTGCTAAATCAGTATTAAAGTAGCATGAAAATTGGTTTACAGTCTGATATTGGGCTCTAAGTGTCATAAATGTTGCACTCCAGAAGGATAGCAGTTGCCAGCAGGAAGTTCAACAATGCAATTTTGAATACAAACTATGACACTCTCATACAATTTAAGCATGGTGTGCAATGCTAAAAGGTGGACAAACTGATTTATATGAATGATCAAAAAACAAATTGTAATATCTGGACTAGACAATATATTGCTTTCTCCATTGGAGGGGAAGATAAGAGGGGAACCCTGAGAAAACAACATTTTTCTTTACCCAATTCTTCCATCAACCTAGCTACCACCTCTTGGGAAAGCTGGATTACCTATGCTGACATTGCAGCACTGGTGCAGCCGCACCTCTGTAACGTTTTAAGCTTAGACAAGCTCTTAGCTTCTAACTGCCTCAGAAGCTGGGACTGAATAACGAGATAGATGCCTCAGAGTGAATGAACACAACAGGCAATCATTAAGTGATCTAACACTGGCTCCTGTTGGAAGTATACTTGGCTAGATAGATCATTGGTGTGACCCAGGATGGCTATTATCATAATCAAGTCATATCTCTCTAATTGTTTGTGAAGTGCTAAGTTTGCATTGCTGGAACACTCTGACTTTTGCGGTTAAGAGCAATGCTCTTTGACTGAGTAAAATAACCAGTTGCATTTAGATTTGAAGGGAGAGAGAGAGGTGAAAGAGAGAAAATAAACTTTGTGTGATCCATTAATAAGACAAGAGGGGAAATTAAAGCAACAACTACAAAAAACAATCGCCATTTTACAGATAGATTATATTGCAAATACTACCAAGCACAGAAGTCAATACAGAGTGCCCCATTTAAAATCTTCAAACTTCAAGTTAAGTGTTTCCGGGTTGGGCCCTTAAATTACATAGAAAGATGAAGGAATGGAGCTTTCAGAGAAAGGAATGAGTGGAAGTAGATGATGCTGATATAATAGAAAAGGGCATGAACACAGATGATTAATTAATACTTCCTTATGTGTAAAATGTGTGTGTCTATATTTTTGTTGTTGTCTTTTTCTAACAGAAAAAGACAAAATGCCCAAAAAGAAGACTGGTGCACGCAAGAAGGCTGAAAATCGTCGAGAACGTGAAAAGCAGATAAGAGCTTCAAGGGGCAACATAGATTTAGCTAAACACCCTTGTAATGCTTCAATGGTAAAAATAATGAAAACTACCTCTGATAAATTTCTGTTATAATGATAGTTATGTTGACTGCATTAGATTAAAAAGTCTTTCTTTTTTACTTATGTGGTAATTTATTTATATCATGAATATTGGCCTTTAAGAAGAGTAAATGTTTTAACATACATATGTCTATTGATTACCTAATCAAACTATATCAGAATCATTACAAAAAGTGTACACTGTTTTACATGGGAAGAAATCAAATAACTATTTATCATTTACATTTCACAGGAATGTGATAAGTGCCAAAGGTAACTATGCTTATTTTTCTTCAGCATTCTAACTTATTTTACTTTTAAAGATTTTGTTTAATGCTTTGTTTTGATTTCTTTCATATGACAAGACGACAGAAGAATAGAGCCTTTTGCTACTTTTGTAGTTCTGTTCAAAAATTGCCTATTTGTGCACACTGTGGTAAGTGTAACTGACAAAGGAAAATACAGTTTTTCCCTTTACCCTGCATTCCTTTTGTGGTGTTAAATAAAATCTCTGTATTTAAACTACAGCTGTGATCCTCAGCTGATTTCATATGGCTGTGCCTATTTGCCCAGCTGACATCTTAAAAACACCCCCCCCCCCCCCCTGAGGATTGATTGTACAAACTCTCATGCACATGAATAACTTCATGAGGATTTTAGCCCTTGGTTTGGGTCTTTCATTTATGGTTTAAAAATATATTTAGCCCTTTGGTTTACATTCTCTCTCTCTCTCTGTCTCTGAATCAGTGACAGTGGGATTGCTTGCTGCTGAGAGCGAAGTTTAAAAAGACTGCCAAACAGCTGCTACTCTTTTAATTAGGAAATTCTTAATCTTTTAGGACACTGTCACCACAGATTTTCTTACTATTATCAGTCAGTGATAATTTGTTTGCCCTGTAGATTTATGTTGTATACCTGGTTACCACCATAGTTACGTGCATATAAGGTCTGCTTCATAGCCCTTTCAAGTCAGTGGAAAGACTCCCATTGACAGTATGGGACTTTAGATCAGGTATTAAATCTTATTTGCACTGATGCTTGCTTAAAAGGTGAGATGATGGGGGAGCTAAACATGATTTACGCTTTGAAATTAATTGCTTTGCTTTCCTGAATTAACAAGCTTTCATTTTTTAATATATATTTTCTACTTGCCATAAAACATGTTAGTGCTCTGTGGTTTGATTCTTATTATTTAGACTGCCTAAAAATTTCTCTTAAAACATTAAGCCTTTTAAAAGAAGTTTTAACACTTTCACTGTTTGTAGCAGGCCTTCAAAATTATGTAGGGAGAAAGCCTGAAGGTTGGAAGCATGCCTTTTGCTTTCTTGTCCCAAGAAATTCTCCTGAGTTATATAGTTAAAACAAAATATTATGGTTAGTTTTGTCAAATTTTTTCTAGGCCTGCCTTAATTATACTTGGATGTTCTACTTGCCAGAGTTTGTGCTTCTTCCTATTTTCCACATGAGGGTTTGACTTCCAGATTGTAGAGGATTTTCCTTCCCCTCTAATGGCCTTCATTACTCTGAAGTTTAGAATGATTTTGGTCCTCCACTTGTCTTTTTTGATTAGCGTTATACATTTAATCTGAGCCTCCATTATGGTGTTTTAAATGGTCTTCATGCAACTTGCAGGTATTTTACCCTTGTGAGGGCTCTCTTTAATTTTCATCTAACCAGAGTTCTCATTTTTTTAAAGTTAAAGGTTACTGTGCTGGCATGTTTTGGTATTTTTGCACTATAAGGATGTTAATTTTAATTACATTATGGTAACTGTTATTGAGTGGTAAAAGTGTTGATTGTTTGACTCTGCAGTCTAAATAACGTTCTTTTAATTTTTATGTGATTCATGATGTGTTGACAATTGCTCAGAAGGCTACAAAACCTATTCAGACACGGGCCCTGTCCTATAGAATTTACAATTTCAGAAGTAAGGTGATAAAGATTTGGGCCTAAATGGATAAGAAAAATAGCTGATCAGTTTTTTCCTAGAGGATCAGAGAGAGATGTGGGATAGTCTGTTTCATGTTGTTTTGTTTCACATGTTTTGCCTTTTATGTTCTTAACTAACTACTTAAATTTCATATTTTTGACTGCTGTTATACTGTTATTCACTCTAAGCTGTTTTGACTCTACATAATTTGTTGTTGTTTTGGGTTAATAGGAAAAACAAAATGTATGATGAAGTCTTCAGACTGTGTTATAAAACATGCTGGCGTGTATAGTACTGGCCTTGCAATGGTGGTATGTATACAAAAACATGTTATCTTTTGGAATAAGAAAGCAACGTGCAGAGTTCTTCAAAAATTTTATGGGTTGGGTTACACAGATCAGACTACAGAATTATAATAATCCCTTCTGATCTTGGGCTTTTATTATTTAATAGAATAATATCAGACTATTCTGATATTCTGCTCATTGCACTATAATAAAATACTTTCCCATAAAACTAGAAACTTAAATAAATACCTTTTTTAAAGTGTAGAGACTGCGAACACTTTTGCACTTGAGTATCTTTACATACGTTCCTGGATAGCCTCAATAAACTCAATGCAGGGAAGTCTACCCTCACATAAGGCCGCTGGGCAAGGTGCCCCCTGGATGGGGGGGCAGCTCTGCACTCAGACAGAAGGGCTGGGACTGACAGAAGCTGGCCCTCAGCACCGGACGGACCGCAGTGCTCTGCAGGCAGTCTGAAGAGCCACCTGGATTGTGCCATGCTACGCTCCAGCAGCTATTTAAAGGCTCCTGGCACTGCCCCTTCCATAGTAGCAGCCATGGCGACAGGAACCACACCTCTTTGAATCACCAACTTCTGTGGCAACTGCCCCCTTTTCCCCTCCTACTCTTCCGCCCTCCCATCAGCTGGCTTGGCTCAATGGGATTATTCACATAAATATAGTTACCTATGTACAGGGTTGGGGCCTAAATGATTAAAGGGCATATTCCACTCTTCATTAAAATGGTACAAATCTAGATTTATGCCATTGAAGCTAATGGAGATATATTTATTTTAGACTGCAGTCACTAAGAACAGTACTTAACCATAAATAATTTTATTTACCGTTATGAGTCTGCAAATCAGTAACTTATTGATCCTTTGAAATACCAAAAGTATTCCTTGTAGATGTGAATATTGCCTAAGAAACTTGTACAAAATTAAAATTTACGGGAATGGGACTAGTGTGTGAAAAATTAATGTAAAGATATTCCTGTAGCTGCTTCCTTTAGGTGGTGGACTGTTTGGTATAGTAAAATAATTCGGTTCCTTACATGCAACACATTTTTCATTGAATCTGTTAACTCTGTGAGCCTGATTTTCCACACTGGAACTTATTTTGTTTTATTTTGTGTAAGTTATATGACTTCTCTGAGGAGCTAAGAGTTCTAATGTAGAGTTTGTTTTAAAATCTAAATAGTTGATTTACACTATAAGAATAGCTTGAGTGGCCTTTGATTTGATAAAATTGTATTTTGACTAGAACAATCTTTTATATGTCAGCAAGAGCATATCCATAAATTATAGGGGAGGAAACTATTTTTCATACATAAGATTCAAGCTATTAAAGGGGAAAAACAGTAAAACTAAGGTACAGTTGATAATATTAAGTTCTGCAGATGGGAATGCCAAGAACATGAGGTGAATATTGAAAGGACTTGATTAGAATCTGGGTACGTTTCTGGCTATTGGGTGTAAAAGAGAAATAGATATTGTACCTTAACTTCACTTCCCCTCAAACTGTGCCCCTGAAGTGTAATGAACCCCTTGATAGCCCAAGTGAATATGGGCACATGCTAGAGTACAGAAGCAGAATTTCTCTTTAGATTTGATAGATGTTCCAAGATGATGTCTTTCTGTGCTTGCAGGGTGCAATCTGTGATTTCTGTGAAGCTTGGATCTGCCATGGTAGGAAGTGTCTCAGCACGCATGCTTGTATCTGCCCTCTTGCAGATGCAGAATGCATTGAATGTGAAAGAGGTGTCTGGGATCACGGTAAGTTGCTTAAATTTGAATGATAAAAAAGCCTAGATTTTTAACTTGCAGTGTCTAGATCAACCTGCAGCCCACTGTGGCCCATTTAGCACTAGCTGCAGCCTACCCATGTGCTAAAAAAAAATTCAGGGTGCAGATCCTGGCTGTCTGGCTCTGTGTGCAGCGGGACTCCACTCTTGGTCCTATTTGTGGTGGGGTCTCTGAGTGGGGAGTACCGTGGTTCTCAACGGGTAGCCCACCATGATAAATAGATTGAGAACCACTGGTCTAGATTATTATAACATTTGATGCCACATTTTACATCTTCAAAGCACTCCACAAATATTAACTCATTTACACAGCACACCCACTAGCTAGTTACCCAGCGTCCCCATTTTATAAATGGGTAAACTGAGATAGAATTGAAATTACATGGTCAAGAGCACATAGGTAATCTGAGTTTAAAATGGGGTTACAACACAGGGGCAGTGTTCCCTCTAATCTTTTTTTATGTGCACTGAGGCATGTGTGAGTGTGCACCAGCAGTTGAAACAAAAAACCTAGCTGTAGGTGCTTTGCTAACCAGTTATGTGGCATTTAAATCTCCTCCTGAGAGGAAGCACAAGCATACAGCTTCCAGGGAACACTGCTCAGGATTACTTAGGTAATCTACTAAAACATTTATAAAAAATGTCTCACCTTAGTGTCTGAGAGCCTTATGTAATTATATCATCCAATAGGTTGTGTAAACATCAGGGCTGTGTCTAGACTGGCAAGTTTTTCCGCAAAATCATCTGGTTTTGCGGAAAAACTTGTCAGCTGTCTACACTGGCCGCTTGAATTTCCGCAAAAGCACTGACGATCTCATGTAAGATCGTCGGTGATTTTCCGGAAATACTATGTTGCTCCCATTTGGGCAAAAGTATTTTTCCAAAAGACTTTTGCGCAAAAGGGCCAGTGTAAACAGCACAGTAGTGTTTTCCGCAAAAAAGCCCCAAGGGGCGATCGGGGTTTTTTTGCGGAAAACCGCATCTAGATTGGCCACGGACGCTTTTCCGCAAAAAGTGGCAGGATGCTTTTCCGCAAAAGCAATCTAGCGTGCTTTTCCGAAAATGCTTTTAATGGAAAACTTTTCCGTTAAAAGCATTTTCGGAAAATCATGCCAGTGTAGACCTAGCCCAGCTGTTTCTTCAGTATTCTTACTCCTTTCCTTGCACTGGAAGAGGTGTTTTGTTTCTCTTGGTACCCAGCTGCTTGATCAAACCATACCAGTCTCTAATTGTGGACTTCCTATTGTATATTTCAACCAAAATGTATATTTTGGGGAGTGGATGGTAAGCATGGAAAAGGGATAGTTTGTCCTCCCCCCTTCCCCCCAAAAAAGGTTTTAATCATGATCTTTCAGCCATAATCAACCAAAATGTTATAAGAATAAAATGACAGTGTTCCTTGCATCACTTTTATGCAATCCTATGTCCCAATAATATGTAGTATTTTTCAATGTTATGCCAGATGGACAATGTTGAATTTAGGATTTTCTTCTTAAGTGTTTTGTGACAGATGGGAAAATTTATTCTTTGTCAAACCCATGTAAAGCTGCCTAAATTGCATGAGGGGAAAGTTTTTTTAAAACCCTCATGCTTGTTTTCTCCCCCTCCCCCTGTTTGTCTTGATAAATCTTGCAGGAGGCAGAATATTCAGCTGCTCTTTTTGTCATAATTTCCTCTGTGAAGATGATCAGTTTGAGCACCAAGCCAGCTGCCAAGTTTTGGAGGCCGAGACATTTAAATGTAAGTTACCCACTTAAAGCCCCTTTCCCTAATGTTAACAGATTCACTTCTTCCTACTGTGTAAGAACACCTGCTTAGGTGGTAAATAATGGCCTGCTTTTTCACTTGTACCGTGTGGGAGTGTGGTTATCCTAGCTTGTTAGACAACAGGAGTTTTTCTTGTCTGTCCCTTAGAAAGAGCATTGGCTCGCTCTAGCATGGCTGCACTTGCGTAGATTCCTTGTGGTTCAGATGGAACTCTGAATGGAGGACAATATTTTTTATCAGTGTGGGTTAGCATCTGAGGCAGTGAGTTTTGAGGAGGGATTTCAGTCAGGCAGTTGGTCTATTGTGTAGGATACAGCACAGATGAAAGTATGAAGAGGAGTGCCAGAAGGATGAGAGAGTAGGTAATGTGTATTTTTGTCCAAAGCCCAAAGTCAAACGGGCCTTGGATCAGGACTTATATATGGCAAAAGGATCAAAATTCATATTTTAACACCACATACCTTAACACACAGATCAAAGAACAAGAAAGTACAATCTATCTCATTTTGATATCCATAAGCGAGGTGAGGGGGAGGGGGGAGAGAAAGGGGGACTCTAGTACAGCCATAAAGTCATGTAGGAGAAACTTAAACCTCAGATAGATTTGAAACCTTACAAAGAACAGAGGAATTGTAATAGCAAATCAAACTAGTGGTCTGGCTAGTCCAGTATCCAGCCATAGTCAATTCCAACTGTTCCAGAGGAAGATGAAAAACAACTGGTATTAGGCATGTATGTCCATACAATAATACACTGTCCATAGTATAATTTTCTTCTTGTTAATTAGGGGATGGTTTATGTCCAACACAGGAGAGTTTATATTGCTTTCAAAAGTTGGTTGTGTTTAGTTTTGCTTTCCCCTCTTCCCTCTTTAAATGCTTACTGTCATGACTCTACGTTTCTATTGTCCATATAAATGCCCAGTCCTTTTTTGAATCTACTGAGCTCTTGGCTTCTATGGTAGCTCATGAATCAAAATATTCCTATTTTAAATTTTATAATCTATGTTTCTAAAAGTCTTTCCTCTCCTTTTCATCTCTCATGCCTTTTCCCCCCTGCCAACTGTTGCCTGAGCCTTGATTAGCTCTCCTTTATGTCCTGCCAGAATGCCTTCCTGTGAAGCATTAATGGAGCAGCAACTGCTGCTCAAAAGGGATAATTTCCTCTTGATGGGCTGACTCTTAATTCACAGCTGTGAATTACAGTGAGTGAAGAAGTTACTTTACAAGTGTTACCCTATGTTTAAACATTGCATAGTGCAGGGTAGTCTTAGTAGAAAGATGGACCATGTGTGATAGTGAGATTATAAAATATAGTTTTACATTAACTTTAAATATTTTCAAACAGATATGACCAATCCCGCCCTTGCTGTGAAAGGGGCTGAAATATAAAACATAGCTCTTAAAAAAACATTTAAAAGTGCTGACTACCTCTTGGAAATACTTTTAAGGTACTAATTATTATTCACAGTGCCATCCCTTTGAATATGACAGAACTCCCTACCCTGCTCAGCTTTCACAAAAGGAAGAATCCCTGCTGTCCATTTCTGAAGCTTTAAAAGCTTGTTCACATGGTTGAATGAGAGTGAGATGGAACTTTGATTATAAACAGTGCACATGCTAAAATGTTTGTAAAGGTTCAAAAAAAGCTGTGCGTGCTTATGCATTCTTTATCCAACAAGTCTCATTTAGTATAAAATCCTACAGTACTCCCTCTTGTGGAGATAAAAACAGCATGAAAATATTAAGTCTCAGAGGGGTAGCTTTGTTAATCTGTATCACTAAAAACAAGTAGACTTGTGGCACCTTAGAGATTAACAAAAATACATAGTATCATGAGTTTTTGTGGGTAAGACCCACTTCATTAGATGAATTGGAATGGAAATAACAGAAACCAAGTTATATATAACAGGTACTTCTTTTGCTGTCAATTGTAGGACCTGTGTTAATTAACAGGTCCTTCTTTTGCTATCATATCTTGAATTCTGTTCTTTCCACTCCAGCTCATCTGATGAAGTGGGTTTTATGCACGAAAGCTAATTATACTATATATTTTTGTTAGTCTGTGAGCTCTGGTCTACACTAGGAGTTATTTTGAAATAACTCCCCTTATTTTAAAATAACTACCAAGCTTGTTATTTCAAAATAATAATTCCTGCTTTCCACGAGGAATAATGCTTATTTCTAAATAGTTATTCCAAATTAGAGATAATGTGGATTCTCCACTGCTGCTATTTTGAAATAACTACTCCCCAGAGTCATTCAGAGTAATTACTGCCCAATGCTTCCTAGTTGAGGTAGCATGTTCACATTATTAATAATAATAATAATAATGATAATAATGTAATCATTTCAAGACTTCCTTGTATTTCGAAATACTTATTTCAAAATAAATTATTTCAAAAAAAATGTCCTAGTATAGACATGCCCTAAGGTGCCACAGGACTACTCGTTAATGAAAATATTAAGGTGACCTAGCTACTTGTGTATTTGTTATCAATAAAATTACTCTGGATTGTATATGTTAATATATGTAATGAGGCATTATTTTAATAAATACATGGTAGACAATTCTTTGCAACTCAGCTTTGCAAGTTGCTTAGCATCGTTAAATCCTTTTCAAATTACCTCACATTCTATTTAAAATTACTATACAGCTCTCATCTGAGGTTTTTTTTTTTTTAAACAAGGCAAAAAGAAGCATTGTACTGAAACCACAGTTTGTTCAAACCCAAATATGTTTGTAAAGATGGAGAACGTAAAAATGGTTGAACTTCAAAACAAATTGTTTTGAAGGGAGTAAGGGACCATTGTAGCAAAGTACACTTATCATAAGGACTTCAAAACTACAAAATAAGCTACTTTTATACTCTATGTTCAGAGCTATAGTTGGGAAGTTTTGGAAGCTGTTGATCTGCGAAATGAAGGGTCCTTTCAAATAATATAATATTGCCTAAATGTAGATTTCCCTGTATTACACCTTTCCATTTTGTCTAGTGAAGCTGGTGATTTTAGGCTATTCATGGAGCTGGAGAGCTGATCTGAATGTATAAAGTAGAAGAAGAGAGCCCCAAGTTACCTTTCATTTTCAAAGATTGATGTTATCCATTTTTTTCATCAGGTGTTTCCTGTAATCGGCTTGGACAGCATTCATGCCTGCGTTGCAAGGTAGAAATACAGATACTTAAAATAGTTATGAGTTTTTGATTCCTCCTTCTCACATGTCCTTTTGATACCAAGTCTTCTCACATCTCCCTCTTCAACATATAGAAAATTCATACCTTCTATATGAGGTATGGGCCAAATACCAGTCTATGCCTCATTCATTTCCTGTTTTGATTCTCTAGCCTTCTCTTTGGATTCCCAGATCCTATGTTGTTTCCTCTTGGTCCATCTAACTGTTAAGCTGGTAACAACTGCTAAAATGATTTCCCCATTGTTCAAACCTCATCACTCCCTTCTTCTGTCTCTCTTGGTGCCCTGTTGCCAAGCATTTAAGTTTTAAATTTCTCATTCTTGCTACATGACTCCATTTTGACCGGCATCTCTGATCTCCTTTAGTATCATTTCCCATTGCCTCCTCCCTCCTCTCCCCCCCAGCATCTTTTAATGTTTTGTTCTCATTTGTTTCCTTCTATGACTTTCATACCATCTTCAGTTCTGCTTCCTCTGCACTGAACGTAGGATACTCTAATTCCAGTATGCCAGTCCTTTGTTTTCCTCCTTTGGATCATTCCTAAAGTCTTACATCAAATATACCTTCCAGACCCACATTTTTCATTAGGGAGACCATTTAAATCAGCAACATCAATCTAATCCACCCCATTCTCTCAGTTTCCTGTTCTTACTACGTGTGCCTCATAGTTCAGAGCAGGAACTGTCTTTTTTGAGGTGTGTTGGACAGTGCTGAGCACATGGTTGGTACTTAACAAGTAGTAATTCACGCTGGTGCCTTGTTTTAATGACAAACTGACTGTGGCAAGGAGAGGTTCAGTTTAGCAGGACAATGCACACACTGTACTGCATGACAGACATTCGAAGTTTAGTTTAGTTTTAACTTGTTAAGACTAACCCAGTGTCCATGTAGCCAAGGTCTGTCAAAGTGCTTCCACTAACTCGGCCCAGCTCTTCCCTGGGGCCTGCCTGTTGGCTGACCCCTTCAAAGACAGGGCAGTGCTTGAGGATCTTGCTTTTTCAACATCCTCTTTTCCCCAGTTCCGGCAATCTCCTGGTTTCCCCTCCCTAGAAAGCATCGGAACGTTGTCTAGCACTGACGCAAATGGTAGGTAGATTGTACACGAACTCCTGCCTCACTACAGAAAGAACTAATTACATTTTAATCTCATCCAGACTTCACTGGTGCTTTGAGAAATTTCACGTTTTTAAATTTTTGCCTGCTGGTTGCTGAAGAGTACGATGTTGTTATGACCACCCTTTTCATTGTGCTCCTTTTCACCCTTCAGGCTTGTTTCTGTGATGATCACACCCGAAGCAAGGTTTTTAAGCAAGAAAAGGGGAAAGAGCCTCCTTGTCCTAAATGTGGGCATGAAACTCAGGCGACAAAGGATCTGAGCATGTCAAGTAAGGTTGCCTTTGAAAGGCTAATGGAACAAATGCTGCTTCTGTGACTTATCAAGTCAATTTAATAGGTGTCTTATTTTCTGCGTTTGAAAATGTAATGTTCCTGTTTTTAAACTGGCAGCATGTGATGCCATTGGTGGCTGGATGGGGGTGTTTACACGTAAGAGAACATTGATGTTCTTGGCTGCTTTAGAACAGCGATGGGTAACCTAAGGTAGTGAGTAGTCCCCATGAGCTGCCTTCTTTCATCTCACTGGGCCACAAGATTGTCGTAACCAAGATGGTCTCCCAAGACGATAGTTTTGCCAACTGCACTTACGTACCTAGAGTTTGCAGGGTGTGCCGACTGAACTGTAGCAATGCTGTGATTGGTTGTAGAGCGCGCACTCTGCTATAGTCAGCATGCACCGCACCATCGGAAGGGGGGGCTATGAGGGGGCTGGAGTGGGGTGGAAGGGGATGCCACCCCAGATCCCTCATAGCCCCCCCTTCTGATAGTCCAGCTCTGCCCCAGGCGTCCCTGATTCAGCCACTGCTGGTCAGTTTCAGCAGCAGCTGAATCGGGGGATTGGTTGTAGAGCGCGCACTCTGCTATAGTCAGCATGCACCGCACCATCGGAAGGGGGGGCTATGAGGGGGCTGGAGTGGGGTGGAAGGGGATGCCACCCCAGATCCCTCATAGCCCCCCCTTCTGATAGTCCAGCTCTGCCCCAGGCGTCCCTGATTCAGCCACTGCTGGTCAGTTTCAGCAGCAGCTGAATCGGGGATGCCCACAGCAGAGCAGCTGGGGTGCTGCTGGGTTGGTCCTGCAGCGCCGAAGGGTGGCGCTATGGGACCAACC